TACGTACTGTGATCAAATCAGCTTTCCCAATAATGGCGCTTGCTTGGCACCCCATTAACTTTCCCCGCCAGCCTCTCCGAGCGCTCATTCTGTAAGAGCTCCGCCTAGAGAGATCTGCCCACCAGAGGTGGTCAGGATCAGTCCCGGGATAGGCCTGGGCACGTTCTCTCACATGGCGGTTTCGGCTTGGTTTAAACGCTCCGCAGCGAAGACTTTGATCTTTCTGACGCAACACACGACTACTGCCCATTTTGACGTTTGACGGTATTTCCCACGGGTGATGATCTGTCTGGAGGATTGACGAGTACAAGGGCTTCACAATGCTAGCTGCTCGAAAAGATTGCAGAAGAGCTTCGCCGAATATAGCGACAAGTCAACCTGCTTCACGACAACGCGCAACGTCGCGGGTGTTCGGTCTCAAGCCACAAGACTCTGAAGCCAGGCAGGACCGCGGCTGCCCGTCTGCCATATTCGTCAAACCTATCTATACACCTCTTCAACCTTTCCTGCTCGCTTGCTCATTACCTGGAGAACAGGAAGCTCGACGACGTAAACGAGCGCAAATCCGACACCAGAAGGTTGTTTGGCAAAAATCTTCCTAATTTCTAATTTCTGCGGTGTCACCCAAATGCCCGAAGGTTGGCGTAGTGTTGTTGTATCTAATGGTCAATATGTTATGGATCATTGAATAAATAAAGAATAAAAAAAATAAATTCAAAAATTGAGCTACAAGTGTTAAGGAACTTTCCTTCCAACCTAATAATTTCACACAAGCTACTATACGAATTCATAGGCTGTTACTATATTACTGTGGTCGAATTCTCTTTTGAGCTTAGTAAGACCAGTGATGACGGATGATTGGTGGTGCACGCCAAGGCTTCTAAAAATCTTCTTCAAAAAAAACCGCCGTCCGTATGATTTCAAACTCAACACAAGATTAAAATTGATTCAGTCCTTTGTGGAAGTGATGGAATCAGGTTCCGATTTTTTTTTTATCTCAGGGAAATATTGCAGCTAGCCATAGCGCCATAGAGCCCACAATGCAAACCAGCAGGATAATCTGTGACGGTCCCCGACGCCTTTTATCAAAATGGAATGAGTCTTCCAGTGAAAATTGATGATAAAAAGACGGCTCGTGGAGACATGATGGTTGAAGTCGTTGCTGTGTCGTGCAGTGAGCAATCTACCTTCAAGGCCTTCAACTGTATAGTGTCCGAAGTACCTCAAAGAGTACTTAGGACCAGCTTTCGACTTAGGTGGGCGAAGACCAGTCTTTCGGTTTGAATCCATCTAAAGCACATGTGGGGTGGCGTCTACAGAACGTGCTGGAGACGAAACTGTGAGGAATAAAGCAAAGCAAGAATTTGCCACCTGGGATCAGGACTGATTTGGTGGAATACTGTCATACCCCCGGCATTAATGAAATGGAACTTTATCCCACCAACCTGTGTTTCAAAAGACTGGCTGACTCTCGATCCATCCCGCTTGGTGTTTCATAAATAGGCCAGATTTTTCGAAGCAAATATGGATCTCGTTCTGAGGTGCTATTATATTGGTTTATCGAACTGAAACTGAAATTTAACTTTCCGCAAGCCTGCGCTTTCCATCTTTTATTTACTGATTCTTCAATAAGTTTCTTAAAAAGGCCGAACAAGACGGCTAAACAGTGTGAGAAGTGCTTTATCAAATCCGGGATTTAATCTCTTAAAGGACGAATTCACGATGAAAAAGCAACCCATTTCAAATTAACCTAGGGATGGTGAGTGGTACACGAAAGAAGGAAGAACCATGAGAAACGGCCCAGAACCCGAGAAATGGGACCCCTTCCTTGCCCGTTGATTCGAGCATTGATGCGACTCTCATCGCTGTGCCCTCTTCAACACTACGCTCTCTCAGCTATCTAATCACTCGCCACGTATTGAACTACGGCGAGTGATCAGATGATCGGTGGGCGGAGATCGCCGGACCCGCCAGCTTTGAGGCATGATAGGTCGCCGAGGTCAAATTTTTCCATGCGAATTGCGCGTCAGTTCGCACCCTCAGGAGGTCCGTGGGTCCCTCAACTAGGTCAGTTTCCCTTTCTTCGACCTTCATTCTAATCGTGAATTCCTCCTTTAAATTTGAGACAGTTCAACAGAGAAATTGAAAGGAAAGCTGTTTTGCCGTAGACTTTTGTGCGTTGCTGTATATCAGGGAAAATTGAAGTCATAATAGCGATGACTTAGTAAAAAAACGACGCATCCACTGGAAAGGATCGCTGGACTGTGACAGCCTTCCACACAAAATCGGAATTTTGGTTTTCTTGATTTTCCGAATAACTCTGTGCCTTTCATTAGTAGCAAGAAATTAGGGAGAAGATGAACTTGTTAATTGAATAGTAATTGTTAGACACAATGAGCATAACTGGTGCGCCTTATGAGTACATAATTAAATAAACAAATAAAAAATAAATAAACATACGGGCGAAACATAGGCGAAAGTGGTGTACTGGCAAGCAAGTTGCTTACCACGCGAGTGGTCTGGGGATTAAATCAAGAACGAAGAAACTTTATGAATACCAAACCATTTTAGGAAAAGTCTGGTTTGCTTTCTGGATCGTAGCGTCAGGCCAACCAAGCCTTCCATCCCTCCGGGGTCGGTTAATTGGTACCAGACTTGTCTGGGAGGATAAAAACACTGACTTGTACATCGGCTGGCCCCCGCAAGTCATTGTATAGGCCACATCGCATTCAAAACGCCTAATGAATTCTTGTGGGAATAGGATGCTTGGCGCATCTTCGAAGGAAAGGTCAAAGCCGAAATTTGCATACCATGATGTTGCTTTTGGTTGTAGAAAGAACTCTAGTAAGAAAGAGAGAAAGAGTCCGTAACGGATCCAGATTACTTTCTAATTGGTAGGTCTAGCCTGTTCTGCTTATGAGAAGGTTTTTGGATCGATTAGAACCAGCTTATGGTCAGGTCTCCTGCTCTCAAAGCATGCCTTGTGACAAGCAACCACTTCTGGAGCATTGGTAAATTGGTTGAATCGAAACATTTTCGAAATGCGCTGAAATGCCTCAGCCTACTGCACTGCTTTGGTCCTGAGTATATGTTTGCCTCTCTTAGGATGCGCCATGCATTCAGACTCACCCGAAGTATACTTGTAGGTTAAATACATTCAAGATCATTTTGCTGATAAATGATCAACAGCAGAACCAAACCGCTCGCGCCTGCCTGATATTTAGATTGCTAACCATGATATTTTCCGAAACCCTCAACT